TGAGGATTCTTTTTTTCTAGATATTCTTCTTTCATCCCTTCTTGTGCTTCTCCTCTTCCTAGTATTGCATCAGTCCTTGTGGTTCCTGTACACCCTGTCCACACCTTTGTTAACACATGCTCCTCAACTGCCCCGAGCTGAGTGTGCTGTCAGTTTACTCTTGGGGCTCTGATTCATGCTGTACGGCACCTTCTGCCACTTTGAAGGCTAAAGGCAGGGAAAGGAATGGCCTTTTGTCTAGCTGAAGCTCCCAGACATGGCACATAAAATGATAACCATCAGGGTGTTAACAAATAACCGTAAAGACAAAAATTAGCAACATAGTTGTTGTTCAACACTGAGAGACTACCAACAAAATCTAAATTTCTTGCTGATGATCTGACAATGCAGAGACCACATTTCCACATGGCAACAGTCAGTGGAGGCTGAGCAGGTCTGTATACTTTGGACACCTGGAAGGTATACTTTCCAATCTGCCACATTCCTTCTTAGTCCCTGTGGCCTCTCTCTTGCATTATAGCTAGCTTCAGTCTTTAGTACTCCTTGCAGTACTTGGCATTTACGGTAGGCATTTTGACTTTTTACCTTCTGCACTAAAGAATCTTACAATGAATGGGTGGTATGTAAGTGCAGTTGAAATATCGTTTGGAGATTAATATATTTTAATCTATATTCCACAGGGATTTAATAATGGTTGGGTGATAAACTTGCTCCATTTGACTTGTTTCCTTCCTTCCTTCCTTCCTTCCTTCCTTCCTTCCTTCCTTCCTTCCTCACCTCACCTCACCTCACCTCACCTCACCTCACCTCACCTTTCCCTTTCCCTTTGCCTTTGCCTTTCCCTTCTTTTCCCTTCTTTTCCTTCTTTCTGAGTCTCACTCAGTTGCCCAGTCTGGAATGCAATGGCGTGATCTCAAATCACTGCAACCTCTGCCACCCTGGTTCAAGTGATCCTCCTGCCTTAGCCTCCGAGTAGCTGGGATTACAGACATGCACCGCCATGACTGGCTAATTTTTGTGTTTTTAGTAGAGACAGGTTTTACCATGTTGGGCAGGCTGCTCTTGAACTCCTGACCTTAAGTGATCCACCCACCTCGGCCTCCCAAAGTACTTGGATTACAGGCGTGAGCCACCATGCCCAGTCTGGCTTATTCATTTCTTTGATTAAGTCATTGGTACAAGTAATTTTTAGTTGAGACTTTTTATTATAATATGTAATATACTAAATGGATTTTGTTAAATACAATATAATAATTATATGATGCCAAGTTAGCAAATGTTTTACTATATGTAAAATTTTAATTTATTAGCAAACTATATCATGTTTTTATAAGTAAAGTTAAATCAGTTTCAGACAACTACACAATGTCCATTTTTACTTTATTTAACAGTAACAGCTGTATATATTATTGCCCTGTAAAAATGCATCATACATTAATAGATGCCATATGATTACCTTAACCAACCCAGCTTTTAACAGTTTATATTAAATGTTTTGCTATTATAAATCCTTGGGTTGATCATTCTTATACATATATCTTTTGTATATATTACTTTTTTGTGGAATGTTCACAATATAATCCCAGAAAAAAATAAAAAGCTGGGCCTTTTTAACAATATTTTGAACACATTTTGTTAGTTCAAATAAATAGATTAATTAAATTTGAGGTTTGCATGTATCAGGCACTGAGCAGACTGCAGTGTTTTAACATGCATTAACTTATCTCTTCCATTCAAATAATTATAATCATGGAGTCACAAAATTCTAAAGATCAGTAAATATTTATTTAGTATCTACTATGTGCAAGGGAAAGCTTCAAGCTCTGATAAGACATAAAGGTGAATTAGACCAACATCCTTCACCTTTTAGACCCTTATCATAGTTGAGTTTTTACTGCTGTTGAGTTAATGAATTTCTATGCTCCATCATGAAAATATCATAAACATATATAATAACATAACACACACATATGGGTACTTTATATAATGAATGATAACTACTTTTCCTCATGTTTCCACTACAATATTCATTAATTTGTTTTCTTTTTAGTAGAGATGAGGTCTTGCTATGTTGTCCAGGTTGGTCTCAAACTCTTGAACTCAAACAATATTGCTTTGGCCTCCCAAAGTACCGAGGTGATAGGCATAAGCCACCACACCCAGCCTCAGCTACAATATTCTTTCAATAATCAAAGAAAGCTGGATTCTATAAAATCAAATTGGAATGAACTGTTAAGCAAGGGTTTTATTTTGCGATTATGTCAAAGCCTTGATTTAATATTATGTATGTGGGGGTGTCTGGGACTCTGTGCACGTATAGACAAGGCAAAACTTCTGGAGATGGGTCGATCATACTCCACAATATTGAACTCTGTACAATTCAAAATCTGAGTTCATGGTTCATAGATGTCTTCAGTCTAGGAAGCTCTTTAGTTTTCATCAAATCTATTCCTCCTTTATGCAAGTGAGAAAACTGAAGATCAGCAAGCTACAGTGCCTTACCTACTGTCATGTAGCTAATTAGCAGCAGGACTGTTTCCTACAATTTATTAATCCAGAGGCTGTGGTCCAGATGAAGTTTGAAAACATACTGGGTTTTTGTAGTTAACTTTGTTTTCCTTTATTCATAGAAAGCAATGAGATTTGCAGTCACGCTGTGTGGGGTCTTTCACATTGTCCCAGTAGTCTGAATAAAAAACTGTGGATTGTATGCAATGTTATTTCAAGATCATAAGATGTTTTGAAAACAGATGGCAGTATACATGAAAGATCACAGGAGATAGCGTTCACAGCAGTAATTAAAAGGATCCTGTGCAATAGAAAGGCTTTTAAATTAAGCAGTAAACTTTACATAATTAGGCATTCTTTTTTATTGTTCATATTTGGCACAGGTTTTAGACAGAATTTTTTTTTCTGCCAACAGTATCTTTTTTGTATATTTTATGCAGAGAAGGCATTTGAACATTGTGCTCAGTCAGAAATTAGAATGGGAGAGTAAAATTGGTGACAGAGAAATCACTGAAACACAGAATAATTTAGGAATTTTCCTAAGGCCCTATAATGAACCCATTCCATCATCTGACAAAAATGGCAATAGTATCTTTCACAAAGATAGGATCGCTTTGAAGAGGAAATGTCAAAATGTGAAAATTCTTTGAAACATTAAACATGGACATCATTAAAATATACTTTCATCAATTTGCAGTTCTGAAAAATGTGCTTTATTTCTAAAACAAAACATAAATGAAAACGTAAAAATGATCTGGTACAAATTTCATGAATTTACTTGATAAATGGCACAAGTAGAAACATAGATCTCAAAAAATGGCCAGACCTTTAAAATCACCTAACTCAAGATTTTTCAGTGTTTTGATGTAACGTTTACTGAGTAACTGCTGTGGGCCATCTGCTGAATTAGGTACTGGTGGTTGCTAAGACAAGGAGAGTTATCTGAGGCACTTCTCTCCTAGATTTAAGTCTGTGTTTATGTGTTTTAATAGAGTGTGGAATATGAACCCAAATCAGCCTTTATGAATTAACAGAATCAAATGTTTAATATGGTAAAAGACAGGGTTATTGTGATGGAATACAGAACATTTACAAATCCTTCTGCAGAAATAAACTTTGTTCCAATAAGGAGTTTAAATTACCCATGGGATGCCCTAATACTAGACATGAGGCAGTGCTTTTCACCTCTTTAAAGTGTGATCCTGTACTAATCTCCAGATTCTTCTTTGATACTTGCCTGCTCCTGATTTTTGGCAAGTTAGAATCTTGCTAAATTGTGATCTTCCAACTTCTTCACTATTTGAATTCTACCCCTTTATCAGCTCCTTGACTTTATTGAATGGAAAGTCTCTCAGGTGCAGGAAATGGGATTTGTGTAGTGTCAAACATGAGACTGAAATACAATATGGCCTTTGTGAATGTCAAGCTGCTCTCCATTGCCACCTATTCTGAAAATTAAATGAAAGTTTTACTTTTCCGACTAGTCAACCAAAGCCAGATTTGGTGACTATGTAGGTCACAAGTGACATTCTTTTCTTGTCTCTTCATTGTTCTACAATTTTGCACCCATTTTTAATGGATCTGTGTGGATGGCACAGATTTTGTTTTTTTGGAGGACTTTTCCTCCTCAACACATGCAGTTGCGTTGGGCCTGTCCAGTAGCACTATGTCTTATGCCTGGGCCAACTGGGACTCTTTCAGGAAATGTGATATTCAGACAATAGGGAAGTGACTGCATTTGCTGGAGTCACAGGCTTGGGGCCTAGAGTTGCCAATGATTGTTTTCACTGAGTGCACGAAATATTCATATGAGACAGAGACAAACAGAGCTTAGAATGGGGGGATACACAGCCTTGATGGATGCAGGAGGGTGCCTGGTACAGCCCACAAGGATGATGGATCGTTTTTGTTGTTTTATTTTTTTCTTAAGCTACCATAAGAGCTTGCCAAAGGAAAATTTCTGACAAAAGAGAGAATGAATATACTTGAATTCCTAGTAGTAGGCCTTTTGTATAAGACAATTTATCTGAAGTCTATTGATAAGCAAATTATTAAATAAGACATGGCATCTACAGTGAATTGTGATCTAAGTGCAACATTGTGCTCCTATATCATCAGTTAGGTACCACTTAGAAGGGTCTATATACCCTGCCCAGGGCTTGGGGGGGCAGTTTAGCAGGTATTTCTAGGTGATGGCCATGCTTGACCATGTCATGAAACTAGGAGTTAAGTATAGAGGTGTAGGACTCATTTTGTGTAAAATAAGAATGGAAAACCTAAGTCAAACAGTAAGTCACTTTCTGGCTGATTAAAGAATCACAATCTAATAGTTTTATCTTTAGAAATGTCTTAAGTGATTGCCTCCTGAAAGAGGAAAGGTGCTGTCCCATTACTGAAGGTGTTCAAACAGATGGCTTTATGACCTTTGGCTGGAGAATTAGCAGAGGAAATTCAGACATTACGTAGAAAATGATAACTTCAAATTCTGCTTGAGAACCCATGATTTATTTAAAATGCAGATGATAAATAAAATGCATATTTATTCCTATGTAAACAGAAGGTATAATCCCCTGAGCACACGGGTCCTTTGTAGAAGCCATGCCACTTTTTTTCAAGATACATCTTTCTAGAAAGAAAGAAACATGTTTATTGCAAAATGTAGGAACAATTCATCTATCAGATAACAGGAGCCAGCACAGCTCACACATGGGCCCCTTGTCAAGTTCAGAACACCCAGAAATTCAGATAAGTCAGACCAAATCATGCCACTGAATCTGACAATATTATAAGCACTATAATCCTAGCTGTTAATGATATCATGCCATTTATATCCAAAACAGAGATAAAATTAGTGTGGACATTCTAAAGTTGCTAAAAGTGAAAAAAGCAAAAGAGTAGTCATCATGAAAAACTTTAACAACTAAAAGCAAGCAGGGAACAGGTTAGAGATCCTTGATCTTCAGGGAAATAGAAATTAAGTAATAAATTCGGTAGTACTAACAGGCCGTGTTTAGATAAGAGTTCACTGTTGAATCTTTGATCATTACTATAGATTAGCAAAATGGCTGGAAAAAAAAGAAAAAAACTGAACATTTTGTTTGGGAAATAAATGTTTATTTTTCCTTATAATTTATTCATACAATGAAATATTCCATATCATAAACACACCCACAAATTTCTATTTATGCAAACATGTGCATGTATATATAGATAGATGTATACTTTGTATATGTGTACATAAATGCACATTTACCTCCTTTCTAAAGCAAAATATACCTAACACAGAGAATCTTTTCTTTGTGACATGAGGTCAATAAATATTTGCTAAATAAATTAACTAATGAGTGCTTGCTATTCTAGAGGCTGTGATTACAGTGGAGCATTAAATGGACACAAATCATGACTCAGGTGTTTCAGTTGTTCACAGACTGGAGTCCTCATTGTTACCTATTCTAATTCCATAATTCAGAAGGCCTGCAGGACTTATTGCTAGGTGGGGTGGTTTTGCCTGTCCTAAATGACCCCAGAAAACTGAATATTTTTAGTTTCCTAGTGCTATTAGTTGCCTTTATCCATAGCCATCAGTGCACTGCTGGCTCAAGGAGTTTGAGACTGTTCAGAAGTGTCTGGATGGATGTATCAAAGACCATCTGTATGGTCCTTAAGATAACTACTTTCATTGTTCAAATCTTTGTATCTTTTCTTCTTTATGGGTCCATGGCTACAAAATTGTTATATATATGGTCTTTGATGGGGCAAGGACTTACAGTAAATAAATATGGTCAAAACACTTTAGTTGAAAGAAGAAAGTTGAGGTTTTGTAAAGAAGTGAGCAAAGAGATCTACTTTGATCCAGGGCGATCTTTACAAATGTTGCTGCCCTTTTGTGCAATAAATACAAACTTTGGACTAGGAAAATTTCATGAGCAAACCAGAAAGTGGGACAATTAAGTAAGGAAACAAACTAAAACCTATTTCATTACTGAAAAATGTTTTTTTAAAGATTTAATATTAATTTTTGCTTCATATATAGCAAATGTATTGTCCTCTCTCACAGATGACTAATTAAGATATAGGCCAATGAAATGTTTTATATAGAACCATCTAATGTATATAAAAAATCTTGAAAGAATTTATTCTATAGTAATGATATATTAAGTTTGTGATGTTTGTCCATTAATCATAGAAATTCATATAAAAACACAGACTATGTGTGGACAGGTAGATACACACACGCACACAGATGCACGCATGCACACACACACACACACCAGTGAACAGTTGGACTGAAGTCTTCATTTTTCTCTTAACCTGATGTCTGATATATTTGAATTGAAAATAATAGGTGGCAGAAAATATATTTTCCAAATATAAAATCTCTTGGTAGACCTTAAAGCTGTGAAAAATTTAGGGTGCCATTTAGCACATCATAAGTTTAAGTATTGATAACAAACACACTTTAGGTTACAGATTAACCTACATTTGAAAAAATGTTTTAGATGATTATATTGCACATGGTGTTACATTCCTTCAGTTGACTTGACCTTGAAGATCTTTTAATAGCCGGAAGTTATTGATATTTCACAAGGAAGATTCTGCCTGCAGCCTCTTGTTCAATGCAGTCCATTTGCTGTGACTTCTCATTTAGTCACTCTGGTTTGATTCATGAAGGATACATAAAGCTGTTTGAATATGCATAGGAGGCCTTGCATTCAATCTAATGTTCTCTGTTCACATCTGCAATTCTCTGGATATTCTAAATGAATAATATATCAAAACAGATGGCAAACTTTTTTCCTCCATAACTCACCTGAAATAGTCCTTGACCTCAATGTGAGTTTGGTTGAGTCAAATCTACAGAATTTGTTCCCACAGGAATTCTGAGTATAGGAGTATGGGTAAAATTTGTGGCTTATATTTATTTTCCTCTCCCAAATTGCACCAATTAATCCCGAAGACTGATAATATAGGTTTTCATGTATCAAGTAATTTTAATAAAACCTCACAAATTAACCTGAAATAGATTGACATATGTTAAACCCAAGCCTCGGTTTCTCTTCAGTGATAAGATGGTACCCAGACTATTGGTGTTTGTTATGGACTCTTAAGAAACTTTGCCTTTTATTGTAATTCTAACATGTGTCAGGATAAATTATATATTTAAATATCAGAAAGACTTTAAAATGGACATGTTTTGAAGAGATATCTATGCTCCTTGTTCAATTAGGCATTATTCACAATAGCCAAAATATGGAAACGATACAAATGCTCACTGACAGATTAACAGATAAAGAAAAGGTGATATATACACACACACACACACACACTCACACATATCCATCATATTTTATCTGTCTCCACATATATACAGTCTGTCTTTTGTATCTCTGGATTCCACATTTGCGGATTCAACCAACCATGAATAAAACATAAAACATATATGAAAAAATAAGAATTCAATAATAAAAAATAGTACAAAAAAGGAATAACAACTATTTGCATAGCATTTACATTGTATTAGTTATTATAAATAATTCTATACAAATTTAAAGTATACAGGAGGATTTGTGTTGGTTATATGCAAATATCATTTTATTAATTCTATATCATTTTATTAATATATGAGATATTTGAGCATCTGTGGACTTTGGTATCCATGGAAGTCTTGAAACCAATCCCTGTGGATACCGAGGGATGACTATATATGTCATATATTTCAGCCTTAAGGGAAATCCTGCCATTTGTAACAACATAGATGAACCAAGGAGACATTATGCTAAGCCCATCAGAGAAAGACAAATATTGCATGATTTCATATGTATGTGGTATCTAAAATAGTCAAACTCAAAAGCAGAAAATAGAATGATAGTTGCCAGGGGCTGGGAAAGAGGGAAATGAAGAATTGTTCTGTGATGGGTATAAAGTTTCAGTTATGCAAGATGAATGAGTTGTAGAGATCTATTGCACAACATAGTACCTATCATTAACAATATGGCATTGTGCAGTTTGAAAAACATTGAGGACAGATCTCGTGTTAAGTGTTCTTACCCAAAACACACACACACACACATAAACACACACACACAGATACTGACACACAAACAAATTTGAGATGATGGATATGTTTGTTACCGTAGTTGTAGTGATGGTATCATGAAGTGTAGGCATTATGTACAAACTCATCAAGATGTGTTCATTCAATGTAGGCAATTTTTTGTGTGCTCATTATACATCAGTGAAGCTAAAAATGAATTAAAACACCTACTTTCAGTGTGAAAACAGGAAATGGAAATCTCACTGTTTTGTATCCTAGAATTCTCCTGATATGATCATCTTGCTCTGGCAGAGGTCAATAGCGGTGCTCTTAGTGGAAGCAGATGACAGAACGCCTCACACCAGAAACATACTTAGGTACACTGGAAACATACTCCACAGTGGCACGTGGTATGTCACAATTTCCCCATAGAATAGAATTTCCTCTAAGATGAAGTGCCGACCGACACTTAGGTGTGTGGGCATACGTGTAGGTGCATATGTGTGTGTATAAGGAGGGCAGAAAAAAGGGCTCTTAATCTATGAAATGATAGAATGCAGTTCTACTTTTTGAAATGGAAAAAATTATACTTTATTCAAAAATTTCTCCATCTTGATTTAGTAAGATAAGTTTTAGATTTCTTCACTGTGATTACTGGACTCTTCAGTGGAATCTTGGTCCACCTCATGAGTTCATTTTCAATCATTTCCTAATAAATATTTGTTGAATTCATTGATTTTTTTTAACAAGGAGTCTAAAGAAAGTGAGCTGGTAGCAGTATTGCAGTCTATAGATGAAATGGATCCTATAGTTCTTGGAGCTTTCTAAAACCAGATTCCTTGTGACATGGTAAACTCTTTACCTAACCAAATTTGAATTTGACAAACCTCAATCATGTATAGATGCCATCATCAGACTCCTTCCCTGCAAATGAAGACACTTAGCTATGTGGAGATCATGGGAGAGCTGTGAACAACAATATTTTACTTTAAAATTTTTTCCTTGAAATATTCAGGTAAAGTGTGGGGCTAAAGGTGGAGGGTTTTGAGTTAAAAAGCTTGAATTAGAATTCTGGCTCTACTACTTTACATGTGACTTTGAACAGTTTATGTAAAATGGTGTAAAATGGGAATAATAGAAATAGCCATTTAGGATTATTGTGATGATTAAATTAAACAAAATAGGCACCATGCTTGGCAGTTAGTAGTCACTCAACAAATGTTAATATAACTGTTGTTATTACTTCTTTTTTTTCTCATTTTCTTAAACTTTTAAGTTGAGGAGTATATGTGCAGGTTTGTTACACAGGCAAACATGTGTCATGGAGGGTTGTTGTGCAAATTATTTCATCACGTAGGTATTAAGCCTAGTACCCATTCATTACTTCTCCTGATCCTCTCCCTCCTCCCACCCTCCACCCTCCGATAGGCCCCAGTGTGTGTTGTTCCCCACAATGTGTCCATGTGTTCTTATCATTTAGTTCCCACTTATAAGTGAAAATATGTGGTATTTTGTTTTCTGTTCCTGCATTAGTTTGCTAAAGATAATGGCTTCCCAGCTCCATCCATGTCCCTGCAAAGGACATGATCTTG